TTCAGTGCAGGATTGGATAAACAAAAGGATGGGGTATGATTCTGCCGTAAAAAGAATTACTGATACATGTTACAATAGGGATGAACCTCTAAATATTATGCCAGGTGAAAGCAGCCAAACACAAAAGGCTGTGTGCCGTGTGCTTGGATTTATATGAGATGTCCATAACAGATCCACAGAGACAGAAAGTAGCACACGTGGTTGGCTGAGGTGGGCACGTCAGCCACAGGGTGTCTTACACAGATGATGGGAGTGTCTGAACCTGGGCAGGGACCCTACGACCGGGTACATTTATTAGAAGTCTTTGAGGTACACTCTTCAGATGGGTGGGTTCAGTGTTGACTCAGTTATACCGAGATAAGTTGCTTAACCAAAAAACTAGCCCAAGTCAGTGGTGACTGACAAAGCTGCTCCCTGGTTTGTCTGTGATCTCTGTCGTGGAGCTTCTGAAATACACAGTCCCGGCCACTTGTGACCACAGTGTCTCGTTTCCCAGGGCAGGTCCTGACGTTTTCCTGTCTGCCAGAAAGCGGTCTGGTTGCCTCCCGCCACTTGCGTCTTTGGGTTCAGGAGAAGCACTTTGAACAGAGGGTCACCAGAGGTGAGCTAAAGAGCCCTTGGAGAGGTGGGGGCCTTCCGGCTCTGATCTTCCACAGGCTCACCCTGGGGCCCCAGCTTTACTTCCGTGCACAGGATCCACAGACAGTTTCCCAAACCCAAAACTGGCACTTGGGAATCTGCCAGCAGCCTTCATGCTCCGTCTAGAGCTACACGTAAGCTCTCAGAGAGGTGGTGCCTGCAGAGCAGTGGACTAGGCCCTGGTCTGGGTGCTAATTGAAGACCAGAGGAGGGGGTTCCCCAAGAGCCCCCTCACGGAAGCCACAAGGACAGCCCTCTGAACGTGGGTGCTGGTGTGCGTGGTTCAGTGCGGGTGATGTTTGTCCCACCTCCTGGCTTCAGCCCAGCACCTCGGGGACCTGCAGTCCGCGGGTAAGGGTCTCCGGACTGCCTTCCCAGGGACGGAGATCAGGGAGGCGCCCAGGTCGCCAGCGGCTGCCCTGCCTGCGTGGCCGGCCCCACAGCTGTGAGAGCCAGCGGCAGGCGGGCCATGCTGCTCTGTTCTCCCTGAAGCATGGCGTGTGCGGGGAAGTGTGCAGTGCTGGGGAGCTTCTGGAGAGTTGTCTCTGGCGAGAGCCGCTGCCTTTGCTCTGTACTGCTGACTGCCTGTCAGCTCGGGCGTGGGAGGCGTTGGGAGCCACGCCTTGTCTCCGTGCTTCCTGTGTCCCTTAGTGAGCCACAGAGCGGAGCTAATCACGTTGGCTGAAAAGGGCCTCCCAGGACCATGGGGGAGGAGAAGGGGAAAAATAGTTGGGGAGAGGGAGGGAGGCAAATCACGAGAGACTCTTGAATGCCGAGAACAAACTGAAGACTGCTGGGGGTGGCGGAGAGGGGAAGGGGGGTGATGGGCACGGAGGAGCGCACTTGCAGGGATGAGCACTAGATGTTGTATGGAAACCAGCTTGACAATAAACTAAGGAAAAAGAAAATGGGCCTCCTAAAGCAGTGTGCTGTGTGCAGAGGGACGCATTCTTCAGCGGCGGGGAGGAGGGTTTCTGCAGAGCAGAAGGCAGCCCAGTGTCTGGTGCGGAGGGACAGGAACCCCACTGGGCCAGAGCCGTGCGTGTGTGTGTGCGTGTGTGCGCGTGTGTGTGTGTGCGCGTGTGTGTGTGTATGTGCACGTGCTGCGAACCTGTACTTGCTGAGAAGAGGCTCTGGCCAGGCCGCAGCGTTCCTTGAGTGGAGGGTGGGGATTTGGCGCCCCCTTCCAGACGTCCGTTTGTCCTCTGCCTCTCACAGGCCAGGAAGTGTGACGTGTAGGCCTTGAGAAGAAGACACAGGTCCCGCAGGCCAGCAGGAGGGCGACCGGGGCTGTGCGCGCAGTGGGAGGCTGGCTGCTGGAGCACGCGGACCCTTTGCTGAAGGTTGGGCCCTCAGCCCTCAGCATCCAGGCCTGGGTGTGTCCCTTACCCCCGTGGCTCTGTGTGGCCTGTGGTCGTGCGGGCAGAGTACATTTCACAGTGGCAGCACTTTTACTTTTTAGGACTTCTTCTAGAATTTGGTCCAAAAGCTTCCCTGGGAGTGGGTAGCAGAGTAGGGTGTTGGTCCCAGGGGGAGTCTGGGCATCAGCCACCGGCACCCAAGAGGTGTCTTACTTCCAAGCCTTGGACCTGGCTCTTCTAGAGCTTCTTTGGGACGGGTAGGGTGGAGACTGTTTCCATGTTAATCTGCAGGGTGACCCCACCCCAACCTGCCTGATCCTGGGTGGGGCCCAAGACTCTCCTTTCCTCCAGTTGGTCTGGGGTGGGACCTGGGTGGGGCAGGAGGTCTGCATGGGGAGTGGCCAGGGCACCGCCTGCCTGTGTCTTACGGTGTCAGTCATCCCCCCGGGGAAGGGGCTCGCCGTGCCCAGTACTTGCCCAGGGAGCAGCGCCTGTACACTCGGCAGCAGCTCTTTGACCACATGTGCACGGTGCTGAGGAGTGGGGGCAGGGTGGCTGAGCAGCTGTTTTTTGGCCGGGGGGGGGGTGGCGGGGAGAAGGGGAATCCCCACGGGGGCCCAGGATGACTTGAGGAAGGTCACCCAGAGCGCCTACGCTCAGGTAGAGGGCAGCGACTCCAGTGGCATGGCTCTGCATGGTCGTGTCCAGCCAGGCTCACGCCCAGCTCCTTCCAGATGGTGCAGTTTGGGATGACTGAAAAGCTGGGCTGGGCCAGGTGTCCTTTGACTTTCCCCGACAAGGTGAGATGCTGGTGGAGAAGCCAGTGAGGCTGCTGCCCAGCTCATTGAGGAGGCGGTGCGACGCCTCATCCGGTTCGCCCGCGAGCAGATCCTGCACCCGCTCGCTGGCCTGCTGCCGAGAGCAGGCGGACGGGGCGAGTGCGGTGGGTCCCGGCTTGGGGCTTGCCCTGCCAGTGCCTGCTGCCTTGGGGGTGGCTGAGGGACAGGCAGCTGAGATTTCTAGGTGAGCAAGCGGCTGCCGGAGAAAGAGGTGCTGGAGAAGGCAGACATGGTGGAGGTGCTGGGGCGCTGGCCCTTTGCCGAGAAGCCCACCTGCAAGGAGTCTGTGAAAGGCATCCGCAGCCTGGAGGAGGACACTCCCTTCCTGCGGGGCTGAGGGGCTGGAGCCAGGGGCGGGGGACCGCAAGGCACTGCGCGGAGGAGCCCGGCTGGGGGCCCTGGCTTTGAAAGCTGCTGCCAGAATCACTGGAAAACACATTAAAACATGATAAGGCCAAACGAGCGCTTTGGAGACCTAGAGGATGGGGTCCTGAGTCAGAGGGGCGGGCAGTGAGCCAAAACTCCCCCACCCCCTGGGGAGCAGAAGGCAAGTAGCTTCCTGGAGGAGCCTTGAGTTTAGACTTTCATGGGCCTCCCATGAAGGGAGGTGGGCGATGGGTGGATTTGCGGGGGGACAGGTGTGAGTGCTGGTCTCCTTAATTGCTCCAAGGAGCGGAGGCTTTTGGCTCAGTTTCAGAAATTCTCAAGATTTAGTGAAGTGGCAGAATTAAGGGAAATATAAGCCAGTTATCAAGGGAAAGTGTAAGGTTTTTAGAACAGCTGTTTGAGTTGGTGGAAGGCCTGTCAGTGATTCTAGAGGAAACTCAACACTTCCCACAGGTGTGTGGGTGGGGGGAGGGCAGTGGAGCAATGGGGGCCCTGAAGCGCCCCCACCCCGCCCCCAGCACCTGGGTGCTGCTCTTGCTTGTGGGAGGCAGTCTCTCAGCCGCGGCCAGCACCCATTCTCAGGGTGGGCATCTTAACCAGGGTGTGTCTGGATTTGGTTCCCTTCTCCAGCTGGCTGTGTTCCCTGTAACCCCCTTTCCTTAGAACCACAGAGATGGAGGGTCTGGCCTGAGCGGGGAACCTGTGGGCTATGTGTTGCTGCCCCTGGGAACCTTCTTCCTGGCGTTTGGGCAGCTGCCACGTGAGAGGAAGGCCAGTTCTGGGCTGTGAGTTCTAGGCCTCTCTTGCCTTAGGTTGTCTGGTTGGTCTGAGAGTATGGCAGGGGCCCAGCCCAGGGAGCTGGGGTCAGGACTAGAAGCCTGGGGTTCAGGGGCCGTGTCCCTGCTTGCCTCCCAGAATCCTTAGAATCACGACACTAAAGGGGTGTCAGCAGCTGCCTCTTGGTGGGCGGGTGAAGGTCTGGGATCCCGTGACACCTCTGTGCTCTTCCCAGCTGTTGCTCAGGGCACCCTGGGGGATGGGGGGGGTGGCTCCACTCGCCCTGCATGACCTTTGTTCTCGGCTTGGTCAAGGCCAGATGCCAGGATTTGATTTAAAGATTTCCAAATCATTTGTTCTGTTTGCTTCAAAAATAGAATTTCCAAGTTGGTACAAGCACTTTCTATTATTGTTGTTTGTAAAATATGCCATCATTGAATTTTTTACTTCTCCAGAGCTCACCGTGTAATGAAGTCTCCAATAAACTCAGCCTTCATTAGCTGAGCTGCGTGGGGACCTGCCGAGGTCCTGCTTTGGGGCTCCCTGTGATGGAGGTGGGAGGTGCTCTCCTCAACCCCATGAAAGCCCCGTGGTGTCCAGAACCTGGGCACTTGTCCACTCTGAGGCTTAGCACAGCCTCCCTCTGGCTCATGCCCTTGGCACATCTGGGTGAATCCTGACCCCTGCTCGTTTTTATCTTGGATACCTTTGTGCCCACTGCCTCTGGAGTCTCCTCAGCTCTTTCCTTCACCCCCTTGCTCTGTTTGGGCCACCTGGCCACACACTACACGGGCTTTGAGTCAGTTCCTGGGCGCAGGGAGGGAGGAGACCTGGCCTAGGATCTTCCACCAGGGAGGCCAGCGGGAGGAACTGCCTGGCACGGGGCTCAGGGCCCGTTTCCTGGGTCCCTCGTCTCATGGGTGATCAGAAGGGTTGGGGCCTTGGCCTCACCCTTGGCCTTCTCCTCACAGGCCCAACCTGCTGACTGCCTGCTTGTGACCAGTTGCTGTTCTGGGAACCTGCCTGGGCTCAGAAGACTTCCCAGGGAGCACTTTGTGCCTCTTCCGGCCTGGACCTGGGCGTGGGCGTGCGCAGGAGGGGATCTTCACTTCCTAAGGCCTAGAAATCCAGGGCACTTGTTCCTGAGATGTGACCCAAATAACCAGCTCAGAGTACAGCACAGAAGAGCCCCCAGCGGCTTCAGCTGGAGAAAGCCCAGAGCAATTCTGCTGCTCCAGCAGCCCCCACCCCAATCCCCCCCCCAACACCCACTTCTGAGCTCTGGTGTCACCTAGAAAGGAAGAGACACTGATTGGGCCTTAGGAAGAGGTGAGATTTTAATCCCAATGTTTGTAAATAAGCTCTGCAGACGCCATAGCAGGAAGGCTGGGGATCAAGGAGGGAGACCCTTGGGGGATTGGGGGGGGGGGGGCATGCAGCTGCCCTTACGGGATTTGTGTTTAAGTGAGCCTCCAGATGGTGCCTGGAAAACATCCTTTGAGTTGGTTTTCCTCGCCTGTGTTCTCAGAGGGGAACTTGCCTCTAGCTGTGCACAGTGGGCCCAGGGCACGCCCGGGGCTTCTGTGGAAGGGCAGGTCCTCCCCTGTAGGAACGTTTCACTGGGGAATGGGTCAGGGCAGGTTGGCCTGGGGACCAGAAGCAAACTTCCGTATTTACTGTAAAATCGTTCTTGGATTTGCTGTCAGGCCAGAAGCCTGTTTCATCCCTTAACTCATAAAAAGCAGCACTAGGAGCAACTAAGCCTGGCGCCCTTAAGTTGGGGGCTGAGGGTTGTGCCAGGGTCCCCTCATATTCCCAGGCCCCCTTGGGCGTCTTGACCCCAGGCCAGGACGCCAAGCAGGGGCACGGGTACTGGCCTGTGCGTGCCTGTGGGGATGTGTCCTCGGCACGGGCACGCCCCACCCGCCCACAGTCTGAGGTGGCTGTGCCGTACTTGGTATTACGAACCGCGGAGAGTGGGCTCAGCTGTCACACAGGGACCGAGACCAGCAGGGTCTTAGGGCCTGAGGGGGGGCTCTGGTGCCAACAGTGCTCCCTGGGTGGCCTGAAGAGGGTGGGATTGCGGTGAAGGTGGCCCCCACCCATATACTTGGCTGGAGAACAGTGCGGCCGGAGAGCAGGGCTGGCGCACGGTGCGGCCATTCCCAGACCAGAACCCCGAGGCCCTAGGGTTTGCAGAGGAGCTGTCTCCAGCTTAGGTCCCCCTCACCCCACACCCCCTCGGGACTCTTGTGGCAGGTGAGAGCACCTGTCCTGCAGACAGAAGTTTCCAAAAGGCCAAGGCCACTCCTGCCTCGTCCTCAGCCATTGTTGTCCAAGACCCAGGGACTGGGACAGAGGGGGATGTAAGGCCATTGGGCTGTGCTTGTGCTGGGGCACCCCGAGAACCTGACCCAGAGCCACACGGAGTGGGCAGTGTCCATGGGGTCAGAATTGTCCGGATTTGCCCTGCCTTGGCCCTGGGGCCAGCTGGCCTAGTCCTCCTTCGGCCTCTCCACGGTGAGAAACGTGTCCACAATTGCCGGCTGGCGCTCCTGGTCACCAAGTGGCTGCTTCTCGCGGTTCTGCTCAGCCCTGGTTCGCGTCCAGGAGGGAGAGCGCAGACAACCAGACCGGGGCAGTGGGTGCAGGCCTGATGGGAACATGGGGGTCAGGTCACTTCTACGGCTAACGGGCTGGGCCCCGTGCGTGCCTCTCCCGTGGGGTCTGGCTGCACACTGGGGTCCCCTGGGTGCTTACAAAACACAGATACCAGGCCCCCAGCACTGCAGACCTGGGTGGCACGGGCGAGGGCTTGTGTGAACTCACAAGCAGAGGGTCTCTGTGCAGCTGAGACTCCGCCCTGGGTGTGAACCTGGCCCACAGCATCCAGAAGGTCCCTCAGCTCCTCCCAGGGTGCAGGCTGTACAGGGCTGGGGTCTGAGCCCACCCATTCCACCCCCTGCCTGCATGAGGTGTGACCGGAGAGGAGAAGGTCCCCGGGTCCCCATTCCCGCACTGGCCGTGTGGCCGTCATTGGGGCCCTGAAGGTCTTGGGCTGAGGGTAACACTTCCTGGGAACCGAAGGGGAAACTAAGGGCTGAGCCGTGGCGCCAGGGTTGATGAAGGCCACCCTGCTTGGCCTGGCCTAACTCGTGACTGATTAAATTCGCATTTAGTAAATCTTACTTTTGATAGGACTGTGGCTTTGGCGTTTTGTAGGGATTTGGAAAGGAGAATTGAGGAAAACAGGAGGAAAATTCCTTCAAGTTGGGCAAATAGACATGTAAAGTGCAAAAATATTGGGGTGTCTGGTTGGCTTAGTTGGAGGAGCATGCGATTCTTGATATCGGGGTCATGAGTTCAAGCCCGACGTTGGGGATAGAGGTTACTAAAAAGAATAATAAATTGCAAGAATACTGAATGAAGTGGTACAGTGACCAATACTGATTTTGACACATATGTGGGAAAGAGTTATTTTCCAAGATAGGGGTTTGAGGAGAGCTGCGTTTGGTTGGCTCGGGCCCCAGGACTGCCCCGCACCACACACTGCACCCCATCGTCAGCCCACCTGCTTGCGACTCGCTGGCCAGGCTCTCGTCGTCCGAGTCCGCGAAGACCTCAGCCAGCTCCTGGTCGGACATGTCCGTCAGCTCGGTGAGGTCCAGGAGGTCAAAGTGCACCTCCAGGGAGGAGACACTGCTCAGGGGCTCTGCGGGGCCAGCAGGGGATGGCTCGTCATGGGCGCAGTCCGTCCACCCACGGCCCTCCAGGAGCCTCAGGGAAGAACAAGAGCTCTGGGGTGAAGCCCCCATATGGCCGGGCAGACCCGGACCCCCACCTGCTCCACACGCTCAACACTAAATGCCTTCCCGGGTCCCCCATTTTGCAGATGGTACGGCCAAGGCCCACAGAGCCAGAGCTGCAGAGCTCAGCTCCACCACCACCGCCGCCCCAGACACAGCTGGGGTGCTGTTGGGACGGGATGGGACCCTGCCCTCCATTTCCCAGGGGGCTCACGTTCACGTGGAACACGTGCTGGGCAGGTCAGCTGTACTCACGCCTCCTCTCTGTGACCTGCAGGAGCCCCGGTGCCGGTGTGGGGACGCCCACCTCGTCCTCGGCCGTGGGCGAGCTGCAGCCGTCTCCTGTCCCGTGGGCCAGGGTGCCCAGGGCTGCCTGTGGCACCTCAGCCTCCTTAACCATTTCTGCAACAAAGACGGTGTTACCTGGGAGGAGAGAGGAGGGCGGGGAATATCTGGGTGCCTGGCTCACTGGGCCCTCCTTGAGGCCCTGGGCAGTGAGCGGGGTGGGCTGGGGTAGCCTTGGGCCGGGATGCCAGACAAGGGCCACTGGGTGGTAGCCTCCTGTGGATGAGGAAGGGGGTGCCCAACACCACCATCCGTCTCTACTTTTAGGTCCAGCCAAGGGTCCAGTAGTCACTCTTGCATTTCCTTGCCTCTTGGGTCCCTCTGATCCCGAATGACCCCTGCTGGCCTGCCTGCCCTCTGTGGACGGACTTAAAATCCTAGGCTGTCGTGTTTGAATGCTAAGTAATGTATTTTCATAGTAAGGGACTGGGGAGTGTTCCTCCAGGTTTGCAGGGTTTTGGTTTTTTTTAAAGATGTAATTCATTGTGTTTTATATTTGATGATTTTTTTCTCTCAGATGAGAACGGAGGCCCCATGGGCAATCTGCTTGGTAGAGACTGTGCCACTCAGAGATGGGATCCGTGCCCCATAGACGCACCAACTGCACCCTTCTGTTGCTCCGCCCAGCACCTTCTTAGCTCACATCCCTCCATCTATACCTCTTACCAGCCTCTCCAAAATGTTCCAGGGCCCACCCGTCTCCCCTTCCTGCGGCCTGACCTGGTCCCTCCCTGAACTCACCCAGAGACCCTGTCGGGCACTTCCCTTGAGGGAGCTGGACCCTTGGTCCCTCCATGTCCCTCCTGTGGCCCCGAGAGAGTGAGCAGACGCCCTCCTCCCCTCGGCAGTGCCCCGTGCCTGTCCCACGGGCCCAACGTAGAGCTGGGGACGCACGAGCTACAGGAGCATCTGCCCTGATGTCACGCCTCGGGGGGTCCAGTCGGGCCGCCAGTGCCAACAGCTGCCTGGGAGGGACGGGCCTGTCCTCCCCAACAGTGTGGTCAGCAGCCTGGACGCCGCCCAGCCGCTCCCGTGGGTCCAGAGGGGCTCCAGCTGAGTGGGAAGAGCGTGCCATCCACTCACAACTGTAGGGCTGGCTGGGTGACACCCTGCCAAGAGGAGGCCGCCACCCTCCCTGGGAAGTATGGGCCTGGGGCCCTGCCCGTGCTGTGTCATCACGTGGGGCTTCGGGCTGGATAGTGGCTCAGGGGATCTGGCTTTCACCTCTCTGACACATTTGGATTGTGGCTTCTAAGCGTCCTCGGAGGATACAGTTACATCCACCAGTGTCCTGGGCCACATGGCCCAGCAAGGACACCTTCCTGCCAACATGGCACAAGAGGTGTGATTCAGACCCTGCTCTGAGCTGGGGGAGCAGAGACCTCTGCCTCGAACCTCTGACCAGTCATTAGAGAATCCCTGTCAAGGGTCCTCAAGGAGCCTTTACTCTCTGGGACACTGCTTTGTTTCCTTGGGGTGGGAACTAGAGAGCCCCGGCCCCTCTCTCTCAGGGTGTGAGCATCGGTGGGCTCACGTCGCGCTGCTGTGTGCTGTCCTAACTCAGATGCTTCCATACACGTGGCCCATGGTGACAGGGGAGGCAGGGGGACATGGCAGGGGAGGCACATCACACAGATGTCATCAGGGCCTAGGCTGCTACTCTGAGTGAGCTGGGAGAAGCCGCTGAAGGGTTTTGAGCTGAGATGCAGGCCAGGTGGGAAGGATGAAGTCTCCGGGTGCTGAGACAGGATGAGGTGGGGGACAAGCATCATTACAGATGCTGGGGTCCAGGGGCCTCGGACAGCCTAGCCTGCTGTACTGACTGCGAGGAGCACATTTTGACACATTTCAACATCCCTGAAATAACAGCATCTGTGGTTGATGGTATGGAGTCAAAACAGAAACTGGTAGCCCTGAATGTTGAAGTCATCAAGTCCGGTTTTTTATTCCTTTCCATGTCTTCTTGGCAGTTGGTCTGGTTTGTACTCTGTAAACCCTGGTCCCTGGCCTGTGTCAAAGCAGGCGGGGGGGCGGGGGGCAGGTGGGAAGAAAAAGCAGAAGATGCAACTTTTGCCATCAAGGACACTGATCTTTTGTGTGGAAGAATGTAATGGAGATTAAGAGTCAAAGTGCCAGGGCAGAAGATGCCAGGGACAGAGAAGGTTCTGGGCCCCTTGGAAAGAGCAGGATTGATCCTGGCATGTACGTGGCATAGCCATTGTGGAAAACAGCCTACAGTGGCTCCTCAGACTGTTATGTATAGAGTCACCACACGACCCCGAAGCTTCATTCCTATGCTTATAACCGTGATAATTGAAAGCACACATCCACACCTGCACACAAATGTTCACTGAAGTATTACAACAGTCAAAAGTGGTGTCAAGCCCAAATGTCCGTCAGTAGATGATGGGTAAGCAAAATGTGGTCCATTCACACGATGGGATATTACTCAGCTGTAAAAAAGAAGGAAAGCACAACATGGATGAACCTCAGCACTGGGGTAGGTGCAAGAAGCTAGTCCCAAAAGGCCGTGCGTGCATTATGGTAATGTTTATATGAATTGTCCAGAACAGGCAAATCCATAAAAGATAGTAAAGTAGATTAGTCAGTCGGTGTAGCGTCCGACTCTTGATTTTGGCACAGGTCATGGTCTCACAGTTCTTGAGTTCTTGCCCCTCACAGAGCTCTGCATGGACAGTGCAGAGCCTGCTTGGAATTCTTTCTCCTCTCTGCCTCTCAAACATTAAAAACAAAAAGGTTTAGAGGCACCAGAGTGGCTGTCAGTTAAGCGTCTGACTTCGGCTCAGGTCATGATCTCACGGCTTGTGAGTTCGAGTCCCAGGTAGGGCTCTGTGCTGATGGCTCATATCCTGTGTGCCTCTCGTTCCGCTCCTCCCCTGCTCATGCTCACTCACTCTCTCAAGAATAAACATAAAAAAAATAAAAACAAAAATTTTTTAAAATAGGAAAGTAGATGGTGGTTTCCGGGAGCTGGGGTGTATGTGGAATGGGGAGAGAACTAGTGGGTAAGGGGTTGCTTTTGAAATTTATTTTGAGAGAGAAAAAGCACAAGCTGGGGAGGGCAGAGAGAGGAGAGAGCGCGAACCCCAAGCAGGCTCTGCGCTGCCAGCGCAAAGCTCAGTATGGGGCTCAAACTCACGAACTGCGAAATCATGACAGGATCATGGGTGGAGCCCAGGTTGGACACTTTACTGAGCCACCTAGTCCCACCCCCACCCCACCCCCGGCCCCAGAGTTGATGAAGATATTCTAAAATTAGATGATGGTGATAGTCGCACGACTTTGTGAATATACTGAAAGCACTGAACTGCATGCTTTAAAAGCATGAATTTTGCGATCTGTGAATTATACCTCAAAAGAAGCCCTCAAGGGTGTCTGGCTGACTCAGTAAGTAGAGCATAGGACACTTGGTCTCGGGGTTGTGAGTTTGAGCCCCGCTTTGGTGTAGAGATTACTTAAAATTTTTAAATCTTCATGGAAACAAAGGTTGATCTTAGCTGGAATTGAAGGGCAAATACAGGAGGACTCCAGGCATCCACTAACAATTGCTGTGCACCTACTATGCACCGGGCTCGGAGCCTGGGAGTGGGTAAGAGAAGGGTGACTTCTAGGACCTAGGCTTGGTCCTGACACACAGTAGGTCCACCATAAATGTTTGATGAATGCACAATCCAGCCCAAGAGCCCACCACAGTTACTGAGTAGCTGTGCTAGGGACCACCGCTCCATGGAGGAGACCCACAGCTCTTCCCGGGGTGTGAACCGGGTGGCCACAGGCACGAGGCAGGTGTGCTTGGTGGCCAGGCCAAGCGGCTAGCTGGGGGGCTCAGCAGCCCCTGGGTCACCTGGGGCCAGGGTGTGGGGTCGCAACACTGAGACTCTCAGCTCAGTGCAGCCCCCGTTAAGCCCCTGCAGGGGCCACTGCTGTTCTGACCTGTGCAGACAGCGAGCCAGGGCCCCGTGGGCTCTGCAGGTGGGTTACCACAGTCCTGCCCCCAGCACTGGTTGCTGATGTGAGTGGGTATGATAGGGTTACCTTGTGCTATGCTGCTGACCTATTTTCCAGTTCATTTGTGTGAGAACTTGGCCCAAATCTCAAATTCCCTGCTGTGTGCCCTGGGTCTTGCCCTAAGCACTGAGGAGGTGTGCTGCACAAACTGATGAACAAATTAATGAAGCAAATGAATGAATATATATGACAAAATTGCAGTGGGGAGGGGGAGATGGTCCCAGAGGTGGGAGGGCACTCATACCCCATTTCCCTAGCTCTGAGGGTTGCTGGATGGGCCTGCCAAGGCTCAGCCTCTTGAACCAGGGCCACGGCCTCTCCCTGCAACTGTTCAGACTGACTTGGAGTTCGGTGGGCTCACAACCTTGCTTTTCCCCAACTGGGGCCCTCCAGAAGTGCACTGCCTCCTTTCTCATTTCCATGTCTGCACACTTTGATATTAAGGAGCTATTGTTGGGGCGCCTGGGTGGCTTAGTCGGTTAAGCGTCTGACTTGATTTCTGCTCAGGTCATGATCTAACGGTTTGTGAGTTTGAGCCCCACGTTGGGCTCTGCACTGACAGTGTGGAGCCTGCTTGGGATTCTCTCCCTCCCTCTCTCTGCTTCTTCCCTCATGCTCACACTCTTTCTCTTTGTCTTTCTGTCTCTCTCTCTCAAAATAAATGAACATTAAAAAAAAGACAAATTGTTAATTCTTTTAGGTGCAAAAATGGGATCTTCATTATGCTCCGTGAAGACATTATCTTTTAGAGATACTTTCAGAAATAGAGATGAAATCAAATGTCCAGATTGGCTACAAATTTCTCCTGAAGGGAGGATGGTGGTGGTCCGGTAGAGCGGGTTGGGAGGTGGCACACAGCTTTACCGCACTGTTCTACTTTTTTGTGTGTCCCACGTGCTCCAAAATAAAGTTTTCAGGAGTCAGTGAACTGAGAGATGACACGACCTCATGAAATCCCGTAGAATGGAGATCAGCAGGCCACTGTGTAGGCAGGAAATGGCTGCTAGGTAACAGGGGGATGAGCCCAGTCAGTGTGGCCCCTTCTGTCCTCTGTGTTCCCACCCCAACTCCTGCACAGAGTAGGCACCTGGTAGATACGTGTTTGTGCACTGAGTAAGTGAGATTCAGAAACTGAAATCATAAAGCCCGTCTCCCAAGCACCTTCCCTCGTTATCTCACTCAGGCTCCCACGCCCTGCATGGGAAGGGAGACTGTCCCCACTGACAGAAGTGAGCGTGGACACCGAAGGCCAAGCTGCTCGGCCTGCATCTCAGAGTTGTGTGCCCCCAGCCCTCACCTTTGCCTTCACATCCCCTCAAAGCTGCCGCTGGGGAGTCCTGGGTTCGGGTAATGTCAACAGCAAGAAAAAGGTGGATTCCTCCCACAAATGACAAAACAAAGAAAACCCACACCCACCGGCTCTGGGTGTGTCTGCTGGCGCCTGCAGGGAGGGTGACGAGGTCCTCCAGACAGCTGTCGGCCCAAAGCGGACTGCAGACAGCAGTGGGTGGGCGCGCCGCTTCAGGGCACCCCCCACCCCTCCCGGGCCGTCCCTTTGGGCTCCAGATGCGGTCGCTGACGTGGCTGGTGTCCCTCCACAGGTCGCTGTGCTGTCAAGAGTAGCTCCCTGGGATGGGACCTCCAGCAAACCCACGATGCATCTGGGGCCGGGCCGGGCCGGTGGAGGCGCTGAGGGCGACCGAACACTCTTCCTGAAAGGGCTCTGAAATGGGGTTCCTAGAGTTTTCCTCTCATTACCAGCTGCCACCCTGCCAGACTCCCCGAGGGGAGACCTTGCTAGAATCTCAAACGCCAGAGTCACCAAGAGCCGACAGAGGCTTCCGGGCTCTGTCTCCGTGCACACCTGCCCTCCCAGAGGTGAGCGCCCCCGGGCCTCCCCCAGGCCGACGACCCCTGCAAGCCTGGGGGCAGGCTCCCCCCGAAGGCCGTGCCAGGTGCCCTGCCACCCCTCCCCCAGGCCCTAGCCGGGCGCGGTGCCCTGCAGGATCCCAGAGGCGGCCTCCCTGCCCCAGCCCCGCGTGAATAGCGACTTGGACGAACAAAGCGGATGCGCGGCCCAGGGGGGCGGCGGCGACCCTTGCGCCTCGCCGAGCCGGACCCCAAACTACGGCCCAGACACGCCCCATGCCCTGACTCCCAGAACCCCGGCTCTGCCGGGATGGGGTTCAGCACAAAACTCTGGGCCAAGCACCCAGGAGCGCTCCGGAGGCTGCGGGGGCCTGAAGCGCAGAGGACAAGGGGGCGGGGACGCGGTGTGTGCGCCCCCCGCCTAGCGCGGGGGGCGCACCCGGGAGCTGCCCCCGGCGTGAATTCCCCGGCGGCAGGCCGGGCTTCCCCCCCTCCGGCCGGGCTCGACTCGGAGCTACCGAGTGGGGGTTTGCGGCCCCCGGGAGCGGCCGATGAGCGGGCCCGGGGGCAAGGGGCTGCGCTGGGGACTGGGGCCACACTCACCTCCGGGGCCGGCGCCCTCCGGGGGCTCCATGCGGCCGGCAGTGTCTGGGAGGGGCGCGGGCGGCGTCGGCGTCACCCGGCCCGGGCGCCCCTGCAGCTGCGGCGGCGACTCGGCCCCAGCTCCCGGCGCAGCGCATCGGGGCAGCAGCCGGGGGGCCGCGGCGGCGGGGAGGAGCCCGCGGGGCGGGGCGCGCAGCTGCTCCGGGGCCCGGGTTCCCCCTGGCATCCTCCCCCCCGAGCCCCGCAGCACAGGTGCGGCCGCGCCCGGCCCCGCGCGCGCCCCCTGTCGGCCCCGCGCCCTGCGGACCGCGGCTCCCACGGCCGCTCCCGCCGCGGCCCGCGCGCATCCGGCGGCCGCGTCCCGAAGCCGGGGCCGCTCGAGCGCCCTCTGCGCCCCCGGCGCGCACGCTCCTCCCGCCGCCGCGCCGACTTCCGTCCATTTGTTCACCCCCAGATGTTTGTGGGGCGCCAGCCACTCGTAGGCGGCCCGCCGGCCGTGGAGCGGGGGCGTGAGGAGAGGTGAAGCCGGCGCCCACACCTCCGGCCTGTGAGCAAAGAATTGCAGACTGTGGCGAATACTGCGGAGACCACTGAGGAGGAGGCTGGGCGGGAGTGCAACGGCGAGGCCGCAGGGGCGCGCGTGTAGGGAGATGGCAGCCGGCAGCCAGGGCGCCCCGGGGGGGAGGGGGTGGGGAGGCAGGATCTGGGCGCGTTGGGAACCGCAAACACAGGCCCCTGGAATGCGTCCCTGTGTCAGGTTCTTTGTGTACAGTATCTCATTAATTCTCCCAGAGATCCAAAGAAGGCGGTGTCCTATTTTTCCGGGTGAAGTAGTTGAGCACAGAGAGGGTAGGTAACCTGACCAAGGTTGCACAGCCAGCCACTGGCAGCCAGAGGGTCTGAATCCAAGCCCAAAGACTGCACTTTTATAAAAACAAAACCAACCACAGAAAAGCATCAGGGAGAAAGGGTTTGTTCCCAGCTGGGAGTGGAAAAGGGCCACAGGGGAGGGAGGTGGATATGACCTTGGGGTTTGCAGGAAAGGCACCCTCTCAAAGGCAGGTGATCCGTACAGTTTGAGCCACCTAGGGAAGGCCCTCACTGCCCAGCCCCACTCCAGTTGCAGGGAACCAACCCACAGCCTTTGAGACAGCCAGTCAGTGAGGCTGGCTAATGGTTCCCATTTTTCTTTAGTTTACAAAACAAATGAAAACAAGAACTGCAGTTTGCTTCCTTCTAAAATGATATCGTGACCCAGTAGAACCCACCCTTGCTGTGGGCCACTGGCCTCCACGGGACCCCAAAAGGCAGAGCAGCCTTTCAGGGACAAAACTGAGTTCTAGGACGGGTGGTGCGGACGTGAGCAAGCCAGCGAGTGCCCCGGGAAGCTGGGACAGGGGATGGGTACTGGCTGTTTGGAGTGAGCTGGGGTGCGGATTGCATTTTCTCGAAATGATCAGGTTGGTATTTCTGATGCCATTTCCAGAACGTTTCCACTCCCAAGACACTCCCTCACCTACGCTTTTTCTGCTGGAACCTGGGCAAAGCTTGTAACTGCTCTGGCCAAGAGAGTGTGGCAGAAATGGTGCCATGTGGCTTCTAAAGTTGGGTCATAAGGGGGATTCACCTCTCCCTCAGAAGACCCCCTGGAACCTGGCCACCTTATGCGAGGAAGGCCGTTCAAGAGGCCTCCTGTGTGTGTTCTGGCCTGCAGTAGGCGGTACACCAGACCTAAGTTCTCAGGCGCTGGGCACACACGAGGCCCCGCCTTTGAGCCACCCTTCTGGGGGTGTTCTGTGGAGCTGAGGTGAGCTGTCCCCCACTGAATCCTGTCTGAGTTGTAGACTCAGGAGCAAAACTGATATTGTTACAGAGAGAACATGTGGGGGAGGGGCAGAGAGAGAGGGAGAGAGAATCCCAAGCAGGCTCCTTGCTGTCAACATGGATCCTGACACGGAGCTTGATCCCATGAACCGTGAGACCATGACCTGCGCTGAAATCAAGAATCAGACACTTAACTGGCTGAGCCACCCGGGTGCCCTGCAGGACTCTATTACCTTGACATCCAGGCATCTATAGAGTTGACGTCGTGGGTCTGAGGCAGTTTACTTGCCTGACCAAGTAAGCAGGCATGAGGAAGAGCCAGACATTAGACAGTATGGTCAGCGGGTTTGTATGTACTGACATTTGCTCTGTGATTTTGCAGGAAACTCAGATGCCATTTATCTGGGTTTCAGAGCTGCACAGCTTGATGCTGAATAAAAGAATCTTGAGCCACATATGTGAAGAAAAGGCTCTTTTCTAAAGAATCTGAACTCCAATCCAATATGAAAAGCACAGGTCACTGTGGGCCTTGTCAGGAGCCCGGGGAGTTGTCAGCCAGGGCTCTCTGGAACGACTCATCTCTGCAATCCATACTGATAAACGAAGCGATGCCGCTGTTTTTCACAAATGAATCCCCAGTCTCGTTATCCTGAGCTAACCTTCTTATTCTTGCCCTTTTTGCTGAAAGGAATTCTTGTGAATGCATTTATTTCAGAACTCCCAGACTTCTAAAGCAAAAAAGCCAATCAGCATGAGGCACCTTGCATATTGGGTCTGCCAAAGTAAGTGTTAAATAACAATACTTATCCCTCTGTGTTTCCCAGCTGCTCTGTCTCGCCCGCCAGACCCCCTCTGGGAGGCCCTGGCATGGGGGGAGGAGGCCCCTATCCGGCAGTGGTGTCTGGCACAGAGGCACAGGCTCTTGGCTGCCCAGGCACAGGGCCATGACCAGACCTCACAAAGGCCTCAGGGCCTGCTATAAACAAATCATGGCTCTGTGCAAGGTGGGTCCTTCCAATTCGCTGCTCCAGTTCAAGAGCAGTCAGGACTTCTGTGGGCAAACAGGAAGCCCCTCAGGGTCTTCCCCGTGGCTCTCAGGTCTCTGCCTCTGGGTGCGTGCCTGGTACCTAAGCAAGCCCAGGTCATGAGGCATCTTCTTCCTTGGGTGGGATTGGCAGATCCAAGCTCACCCAAGCCCTTCTTCATCGTTCACACTTTGTCCCCAGTGCAACTCTCCAAGGGGGAGAAGATTCTGGAATCTTCTCCATCTACAAACAGATGGGAACACATGACCTGCTGCAAAATCACTAGTTAGGAAGATGTTAAAGTAGAGGATGTAGAAAAAAGGAGGAGAAATGGTGTGTAAAGATGGGCACCTGCTTACGACAAACTTCGTCTTCTGATGGACAGAGAGTGATACACGCAGGCAGCAGGGTGGTGGTAGGGACTGGAAATTCACTTTCAAAATCATATGATGATTTGGAGTTTTCAGAGCAAGAGGTTGGAAAGGAGCCTCATCAGTCTTTTTCTTTTTTTTTTTTTTAATATATATATTTTAATTTTTTTAATGTTTTATTTATTTCTAGGAGAGAGAGAGAGACAGCGTGAGCAGGGGAGGGTCAGAGAGAGAGGGAGTCACAGACTGAAACAGGCTCCAGGCTCTGAGCTGGCAGTCAGCACAGAGCCCGACGCGGGGCTCGAAC